ACTTTCTATGGAAAGTCTTTTGCCGCTAAAAGAATGCAAGCACAAAGTGCAGCTGAAACAGAAGAAGACCGCAATCAAAGACTTCATGAGACAGGCTGCTCAAATACAGGAAGAGACTTTGGAACAATGTAAAGTTAGACTTCGAGCTCAAGCTGAAAGGCAAGCTACTCAAAGACAGCAAGAAACTGTTGAACAGCACAAAGCCAGAGTTCAGTCAGAATCATCAAGGCAAGCTGGATATAGACAACAAGAAACTTCTGAACAATGTCAAACCAGACTTCAAGCACAAAAATTAAGGCAAATAACTTACAGAGAGGAAGAAACAGAGGAGCAACGTGATGTATGACTTCAGGCGCAAAGAACAAGACAAGCTCAAACACAATCTAATTTCAAATAAAGCTTTGTTTGATTAAATGCTTTTTTATTTCTCGCATCACAGCTTTTGTCTACTTAAGAATAATTTGCTGAAAAAAATACTGATCTATACATTTCAAATCTACATTTTCACCATGCAACGCCAGGTAACTCAGCTAGTAACTTATATTTCGGTCATGGACAATACTCATTTCCACGTTCCAGTTGTACGGTTGTCTCGACCTCTGTTCCGAAAAATTACAACTGGTTACGGGGTCCTTAAACAAGTTCAGGATGGTAGAAAGGCAAATAACTATGCAGTTTTGAACTGTAGATTTTCGCTGAAATTAAGGATTTGCATGATATGCAATACATAAACATCTAGTAACACCAGTCATATCCATAGTGTGTTGTACACTTGATTATTAACATAATTAATTTTACCATAAAAAAATTAATTACTTATTTTGCCAACATGCCTAGTGGTACTGATAGAGGGTTTCATTGAATTTTAAATTGCAAAAATGACAGATTACACACCAGTGGATTCCACAGTGAAAAATTATTAGTAGATTTACTCTGTAATTTGAATTACATATTTAATAATTGATGAAAAATAATTATTGTTCCTGTAAATGGACCATTTGCACCATGTGAACTGCTAATTGAAACAATGCAAGTGCTATTACTTTACCTGGTATCCTAAGACATTACATGAAACTTGTGACAAGGCGAGATAAAATGGAACACTAATAAGATACTTCAGTTTCAAATCTATATTATATTGATAAATGAAATGAAAACTGTCAACAACCAAATGTTAAAAAATCAAATATGAACTTACATATTTACCTATTAATATTAAAGTAAAAGAGATATTTTGTATTCACATTGGTTTCATGATTGACAAATGAGTACCTAATTATAGTATTTTGGCACTTGTGTATAAAGTTAAAATCATAAATAATATT